TTATTGAATAATAACTTGTTGGGAAAAATTCCGATAGGAACACAATTGCAATCTTTTGATGGCTCTAGCTACAAAGGAAATCCTTATCTTAGCGGGAGGCCACTGGACATGCTTTGTTCTTCTAAAGATCATCCATCAAGGAATGGGACACAAGCTAACCAAGTTGTTGATGAAGATCATCCTTTCACAAAAGGATTCTACGAAAGCTTAGGCGTGGGATTTGCCTTTGAATTTTGGATTGTATTCGGGTCATTGTTGGTTATTCATTCTTGGAGACATGCCTACTTCAATTTTTTAAACAAGCTGACAGACTCTATCTATGTGACAACACTACTCTTTTTGGCAAGATGGCGCAGGTGACTTCGCAACTAATTAAGGGTAATATCTTCTTACCTTGCTACCATGTCATTGTTATTTACAAGTACAATTGTTACTTTTGTTTTTCTTTCTCAACTATTTATTGGCTATGAGATTTAAATTTGTTTACTGTTGACTCGAATATTATTGATTGGCTAGCTGCTATTATCAGTTGGAACTTCTAATCAAGTGTGAACTTGGTTTTATCTGCAAAAGCTGAGGAATTCCTGTTTATCAGAATTGATCTGCTGCAAAATCGTGCCATATACATTAGTGGGTGTAATGTGTAATGTGTGGGAGAGTTTATCTAAATTGTTGCCTTAACTAAAATAGTCATAATGTGGTGGAAATACAACAAAAATAATGTGATTGTGATATGGTGATGCCATTTTATTAGTTTCTTTAGCTTTGGAATCATGAATTATGTGTTGGAGTGAATTGTAATTTCATCGTGACCTCCATTGGTATGAAGCAATTCGTATATGTTATGAAGTTGTGTTCTTTTAAAATTTGAAGATTGGAAGATTTGTAATTGTAATCCTGGTTTCAAATAGATAATTAATTCGTATGATCTATCATGTTGCCAATTAAGAAACTAGAGCAGCCACCAGTCGCAAAGTGCAGAGATTTGAACTTTTCCTAATGACCGTAGAAAATCGAAGGAGGAAAAAAAATGAATGAAACAAGAAGTTCCAAAGTTGGATGTCGTGAGTTAATTAACAGTGACATGGTTTATCTATACTTGATTTATTAGATAATGTAATATTTCTTCCAAACGGCAGTATGAACGCGTGCTGCCCTGCTTAATTTATCTTCTGGTGCTCTCTGTTTTTGGCAGATTCCTTCAACCCCACTGTACTCTTGTTTTTACTGTTCATGTTTTATGGCAAGTTTAGTTTACAGAAACATAAAAACTTGCAGCATTCTTCCATGTGATTATTGCAACATTCTTCTTTTTCAAATGGTTATTGTTAACTCTACCAAGGTAGGAGAGTGTCTACCATGATTTAAGACTGAAAGTAATTAATTAAAATCCTATTAAGGTAAAATAGTGTCTACTATGATAAATAGAAATATTAATATCTCTTTTTAAAACTTATTATGATAGAAAATGCTTTTTTTAATTATTAAAATTATTTACAAATAGACTATCATAATAAAAAAGAATCTACTATGATAAAAAAAAAAATTTAACTCAATACAAAAAGCTTATCATAGAAATTAAAAGTTTTTTTTTTAAATTAATCAAAGCGTGTCAAAACAGGATCCCAAAATAATACAACATTTTACAATCCAAAGGTCTCATTAAATCTTGAAATATATCAAAAGATGGTTATGAAGGATAAAATAGTCTCAAAACATCATCGGATAGGATATCAAGGTAAAAAGAGGCTTTTTTTCACTACTATAAAAATGGCTTTATGAAACTGATTTTTTTTTTCTAATATTAAAAGGTTATGGACTGTTGAATCATGTGATGCTGAATATTCCTCAAGCTTCTATTTAACAATTATTAACACTTTAATATTCTTGATTTATTAAACAATTTTTATTTAAAATGATTTTTATCTAAAAATTATTTAATATGAGTTTGGAGTTTGGAGAGATTGGAAATCACCTTATAAAATGGTTTTTTTTTTTTTGCCTAGAACTATTTAATATTAGAAATATTAAATGGCTATGATAACATGACCGTTAATATATATATATATATATATATATAATGGTTGTGATGTGACAACCATTTTATATTTATGTATTGTTATTTGATCATAATATTAAATGGTTTTGTAAAAAGTGATTTAATTACCAAATTTTTTAAAATAGGGGCCTATATTTCCAACAACCCCTACATTTTATATTACAAAAACATATTCCAATATAAAATATGTACACAAAAGCAGAATTTCAAAAACCATCGAAAATCATATACATGATATATATATATATATATATATATTATGAATTCCTAAATAAAAGTTATTTACAATTTGAAATAGCTTAAGTTTAATCAATTAGTGGCAAAAATAAGAATCAAAATCCCAAAATTTGACCAAGTATACCTATAACACATATGTCAACTTTAAATATATACTTATATCATTTATTGTCTTACTGTTGCTACTACTGATTGTTGTAATAGCTAAACCACACTTAAAAAATAATGTGTCATATATCTCTTCAAAGACTTTTTTCATTTGAGTCTCAATAAATGTGTAACGATCCTTGTAGTGCTGTAGGTGCAAAAACAATACAACAAATTGAAGCCATGTTAATTAATAAAAATAATAAAATTATGAGAAGTTTGACGACATATATACATTATTTGGAAGAACAATGACAAGAGCATGTTGAAAAAGTTATAATTATTTGTTCTATTTTAGTGATTGTCAGAAGAAAAGTAATAATTGATTAAACTAAAATAGTCGCAGATATTTATAACAGTTAGTTTGAGTGAATCAAAAATTTGCGCAAGGAAATTTATTATTGTTTTTTTCATTTTAGTCGTTACCAAAATAATAATAATAGTCATTATTTAAACTAAATTAATAACCGATCGCAACTTTTTTTAGAGCTAAACTGTTACTTTTTTATTTTTTTATTTATTTTAAATAGGGAGTATTTTAGTAAAATTATTTAATGTTAGAAAGGTTCTTAAGGACTTGAAAAGAATTATGATATCTTGTAAGACCTAATTGTTAGTTACATATTTAAAAGATATTTTTGTCATTTTCCTTAATTTTTTAAAAGTAAAACTATAAAAATTAAGAAAAATTTATTATATTTTTTTTCAAATTGCCCCTTATAAAATAAAAACTTTTAAATTTAGACATAAATATTATACTTAATAACGTCTTTTAAACAATATAAATTGATCAAAATTTGTTTATATTTAAAATTGAAGGAAAGAAGTATTACTCCATCTATTTTTAATTGTTAGAGAAAACTATCACTTTTGACTTGTATTATTTTATAAGCAAAATTATCCATTCCAATAAGCATTTATTACATATTTTTTAAATTATCTTTCATAATTTACATTAATGAGAAATAATTAATGTATGTTTATGTTGATTACCATAAGGCATTTTAGTCTATTTTTTATTTTTAAATATAATTATTATAATTAATCAACTTTTTTAAATTTATAATTTTTTTCTCTTGTATATAAAATGGATGGATTATTTTATATGCCACTATAGCACTTCCCACTAGATATAGGTTTTATATGTTATTTTTCATATTTATTTATCCCATACATTGTATTAATGGGAGACCTTGACTTGCAGACATGCAATAACCGAGCTAAAGGAAAATTATTTAATTCCAAAGGCGTTACGCACGCATCACTTAATGGTGGATCCACTTTAATTTTTATATTTCCTTCTTTTCAATAATTGTGGCAACTTTTGAATTTTGATCCTGTTCAATGTTCATTCCTCCCATCATTCGGCAAAATATCATAAATTGGTTTTATTTTTTAAGAAAACATTTTTGAAATTTTATAAGATCATATAAGAAAGGTGACACTTGATCTATTCTAGAGTTAACTATGAAGAAAGATTATTAGTCAATTAATCATAAGAGGTGTGCATTTATTCATCGTTTTCTCCCTTCCTTCTTCATATAATTTTCTTAAATTAATATGAAGGTAGTATGTATGCAAGCTATAATGTTGGCTTTTGTACGTGATAAGTCTTTTAAAAGGAAAATTGCTTATTTAAAAGCAATATATTAGTTTCTTTGAATATATGGCTTAGTAATGGAATGGGAAAATGGGGAAAAATATTATGCTACCTGGTTTGGTATAGAAGAATGAATTAAAATAGGAAATCCATGATGGACGTCCATATTCAAATATAATTTCCAATCAGCATGAGAAATGGATTTAAATCCTCTAAATATGATCATAAATTTGTGGGGAGTTTTTTTTTTATTTCCTTTCATTTTATTATTTTTCATAAAACATAAAATCTTCTCTCTTTCTTAGAAAGACAATCTTCACATAAATTTATGAACATCAATTTTAGAGAATTTAAATTATGTGAAATCTAGTTTTCTAGTCAATATAATATTTTGAAAACTTATTTAAGACATAGGTTTTGTTTGGCGAAGGATCTCAATGAAACAATAATATATTTCATCTAGGTATTGGTTCAAAGGTTATTTTTCGAGTGTGTGTTTCATGTGATGGTGGACCTATTTTTTTATATTTTCTTTTAAAATGCTAGCTAGTGGTAACCTTTAATTTTGTCCACTCAGTCACCTATCATAAGTTCATTGTTCTTTAGTTTATTTTAAAATGTTTTTGAAATTTTTGAATGATCGTGTTTTTAGAAAGGTGCGGCACTTAATGTAGACTAGAGTTGATTACATATGAAAAAAAGATTGTTAGGTAATTAATCACGTTAAATGTATCAACTCATCGCTTTATCTTTCTTCATACATGGGTCCAGATAAATAGGATTCCATGATTTTCTTAAACTAATGGATATAACGAAGGAAAGGGTGTGTAATGTGGGTACACGCTAACTTCAATCACTTTTGTGATCATTTTTTATCTGAATAAGATTTAAAATATCAATTATATATATATATATATATATATAGTTTTGACTAGAATACTACGCTCTGTCCTAAGATTTAATCAGTGTCTCCAGAGGTTTATAAATAAGAAAAACACCTTGAGCTGGTTGGGTCATCTCTCTAGCCACTATTGCTTGAGTTAGATGATGCAAGAATAGCAATGAGTTCGATTAATCTAAATTTTCTCTTGAAAGCAATAATAATAGTAATGCTGCATTTGAAAATTGGAAATGCAAATAATGCGAGCTGCATCGAGGAGGAGAGATAAACTCTTCTCAACATCAAGCATGCCTTCATCGACCACTATGGCCGTTTGTTTTCATAGGGCTCTTCTTTAGATTGTTGCCATTGGAGTGGTGTCCTTTGTCATCGTCAATCTAGCCACATTCAAATGCTTGATCTTCACGGTTATGACTATGAGGAAGGTTTCCAACCTTTAAGAGGTGAGCTTAGCTCATCATTGATGGAGTTGCCATACTTGAATTATTTGAATCTCAGTTTCAATTATTTCAATAGGAGTGAAATTTTCAAATTTCTTGATTCTCTCACCAAATTAAGATATCTCAATCTTTGTTTTTTCTTTTGGTGGAGAAATACCAATTAAACTTGGCAAGCTTTAAAACTTGCAGGTTCTAAATCTTTCCAGCAACAATTTAGTTGGTAGCATTCCTTTTCAACTTGGGAACCTTTCAAGTTTGCAAGAGCTCAATCTGCAAGGGAACGATTTAGTTGGCAATATTCCTTACCAACTTGGTAATCTTTGAAGCTTGGAGATACTTTGGATTAGCTATAATGATGATTTGAAAATTGATGACAAGAGTCTAGCTAGTATTGAATAGCTTTCCAATGTTCAGTCTTTAACTTCACTTGATTTAAGTTGGGTGTCTAATCTGAATTACTCTAACAACTTGTTGCCCATTATTGGGAAGCTTCCAAACCTGAAAGAGCTATGGCTATCCAACTGTAGCTTGATAGATATTAATATTCCATCAACTCCTCCATCCCATTTGAATGTTTCTACATCTCTTGTAACTCTTGATCTCAATGACAACAAGTTCACATCATCAATATGCCCTTAGCTGTTTAATCTAAGCTCCAATCTTGCAAAACTTGATCTTTCTGACAATCATTTAGGTGGTCCCCTTCCAGATGATTTTGGAAAAAACAAAAAGTTCTTTAGTAGATCTCTACCTTTGGGATAATAAGCTAAATGGAACAATCAGTGAAGTCTATTTTGATAATCTCACCAAGTTACAATCATTAGAACTGTCTTATAACTTGTTGACCCTTAAATTCAACAACAATTTGATTCCTCCTTTTCAATTACAAAACATAAGGTTATTGCACTATAAGTTGGTCCCAGATTCCCTATTTGGCTTCGCAGTGAAAAGAATTTACGAGCTTTATTTATTTCTCATGTTGAAATTAATGATTATGTACCAGAGTGGTTTTGGAGACTTGTAAAGGGAGCCATATCTCTCTTGATAGAATCTAGCAATCTCAAAGGTACAATTCCAGATTTGTCACTTGAATTTGTTGTTTCAAGAATATCGTCGGCTCACAATCAAATTGAAGGTTTAGTTCCACTATACCTATTAGATGGAGGATTTGTAGATATTTTAGGAAATCAAATTTCCAATTTTTCTCCTACATGTGGCGAGGGGACAAGTTCTTCAATTGTTGAAAACTTGGTAGCATTAAATCTCTCCAGTAATAAATTATCAGGGAAACTTCTTGATTGTTGGAGTGATTTCAGATCATTAAAGATTGTTGATTTATCTAATAACCAACTCTCTAGAAGGATTCCTCATTCTATAATTTCCTGGAGTCAAATTTGACAATTGATTTTACGAAACAAACGCTTTAGTGGTGAGCTTCGCCCTTGGAAAATGCAACTGAATTGACATTGTTAGATTTGGGAGGAAATGACTTATCAAGGCCAATACCATATTCACGGATAAGGAAGAATCTTAAAAGTTTGGAGATTCTTAGATTATGAATGAACAAACTGGATGGAAACTTGCCATTTCGTCTTTGTCATTTAACAAATGTCATAGTAATGGATCTCTCTTTTAATAAGTTTACAGGACCTATACCATGTTGCTTAGACAAGCCAGAGGCAATGATTGAAAAACATGTCTTCAACTACTCCATGACTATTATCAAAATTTTCAAGAATGGAGAACCTGCAAGAAAATACTCATATGATTTGTTATTTCCTATGATGTGGAAAGGAAGAGAAATGCAGTACAAGGATGGCTATGGACTTCTAAACGTCATTGATCTCTCCCACGATCAACTAGTGGGGGATATGCCAGCAGGAATTGAGAAATTGATGGAATTGAAAGCCTTGAATTTATCAGCAAATAATTTGAGTGGAGAAATCATTTTAGAGATTGGATGATTAAAATTATTAGAAATTTTAGATCTATCAAGAAATCATTTTTCTAGGAAAATTATTTCAAGTCTTGCTAAAATATCTTTTCTAAACATTATGAATTTATCAAATAACAACTTGTCAACAAAAATTCCTATCGAAACACAATTGCAAAGTTTGGACACTTCTAGCTATGAAGGAAATCTTTACTTTTGTGAAAGACCACTAAACAAGCTTTGCTCTTCTAAAGAACATCTACTGTGGAATGGACCACAAGGTGATCTTGTTGTTGATGAAGTTTTCCCTTTCACAAAAGGATTCTATGAGAGCTTGGGTGTGGGATTTGCTACTGGATTTTGGATAATCTTTGGCTCATTGCTAGTTATTCGCTCCGGGAGGCATGTCTACCTCAATTTCTTAAACAAGATGGCAGACTATTTATGTGACAACCATACTCTTTGTGGCAAGATGGCACAGGTGGCTTCGCATCTAATTAAGGCTAATATCTCCTCACCTTGCTACCGTGTTATTGTCATTTGCAAATATATGAGTGACTATTTTTTTCTTTCTCAATTATTTATTGATAATAAAATTTAATTTATCTTTTTTATTTATTGTTGACCTGAATATCGTTTGCTGGCTCTGGCTGCTATGATCAGTTGGAGCTTCTAATCAAGTGAGGACTTGGACTTATCTACAAAAGCTAAGGAATTCTTGTTCATGAAAATTGATCTGCCAGGACTACGTGTCATATATATCAGTGGATGTAATGTGTGATATGAGAGTTTATATAAATTGTTGAATAGTCATCGTGGGGTTGAACTTGAAATACAATAGAAATAAGAGACGCCATTGGGGTGACGTCGTTTTATTGGTTTCTTTAGCTTTGAAATTATTAATTATTCATTGGTGTGAATTGTAATTTTATTGAAATAATTAAATGAAGTTGTGTTCTATTTATATTTGAAGATTGGAAGATTTCTCGTTGTAATCTTGGCGTCAAACGAAAGAAGCACACAGCGGTGCAGGTCTATATATATATATATATATATAAAACTATTAGTCATTATATTTTTAGCGTATTTTAATATTAATACTTATATTTATTTCGTTAATAGTCAATATTATAAATTTAAAATCAATATGGTAGATCTAAAGGTGAATCCATATCTATATAAATTTGGAATGCTTGAACGAACAGAAATTTATAAAAAATGGTCCCACTTTTTCCCTGATTTTTTTTTTGTCTGTAAACACAGTCAGATGTTTCATTTTTTTAAAATTTTGTTACGGAGTATATAACGGTCTCTTTCTTTCTTTTTTTATGTTTATTTATTAAATTTTTAATATGATATAGTAAATATTTTTCCCTGATTTTTTCTTATCTGTAAACATACGATCCGACTTTTTTTCATTTTTTTTAAAACATTGTTCCGGAGTATCTAACGTTCTCTTTCTGTTTTTCTAATTTTTATTTGTTAATTTTTGTAATATGATATGGTAAATAAAAAGGGAAAAGAATAATGTAATCATTGTAGTAAAAGAGGTACATGTAGGATCTACAAAATTTAAATTGTTGATACGAAATTTATACTTGAAAATGAAAAAAATATTTTATCCATTTTTATCTTAATTAATGATGTCTCTCCTCTATTTTTTGAAACTTATATGAACATTTTTTAATATAGATAGTTATAAAAATAAAATACAAGCCCTTCTTTTATTTTTAAAATTTTATTTTCATCTACCTAATTATTAGTTGACTGTTAAGTTATGTGTGTAGAATAAAATATCCCTATTTAAATATAAATATTGTCCAAAAATCATTTAAATTACCAAAAAATTAATTTTTTATTATTTAAATGTATTTATTTTGTAGATTTTAAAAAAATTATATATATAAATTGGCCAAAAAAAAATTCAAAGATGCAGTGTATATAGATTCAATAAAGAGAAAAATAAAATAAAATAATTTTAATAATTTGGGGTAGTTAAACCAATCTAAATAAACTTAAAAGTTAAAGGTATTAAGAGTCAAGTTTGACTATAAATTTTTTTATATGTTCAAATATTTTAAATTTGATATGAATTGATGCTCTAAGAGTAATGGAGGGAATGTAATATTTTAATAAACTTAATTTTTAAAAAATTGAAGTAGTATGGTTTAAAAAAGTGGTGTGTAGGACCTATCATTAAAAAATGTGATTGGGGTCTAATTTATAAATTTTAAAAATTTAAATAAGGTATAAAAATAATAAAATTTTTATATTGTGAGAGATCTAGTAGGATTTTATACAAAAAATTGATGATGAATATAATATTTTTAGTAAAATCATAGGTGTTAGATATACAAAGAATTTTTTATATACTCCTTGCATTAAAAAATATAAGGCATTTTTTAAGGGGTTAGATGTTCAAAAATATAAGGCATTTTTAATCTTTTAAAATGTAATCTTTTCCTTTTTTTTCAAAGTTTCTCTATTAAATAAATCTCTTTATATTTATTTTAGAATAAAATATTTTATTAAATAGAGGTAATATGAAAAAATAGGATTGGTTTAAAGACAAGTAACTACTTTATTGGGGGTTAGATTCAGTTAAAAATACCTTATATTTTTTAACAAAGGGTAACAAATAGAAATAGCTTGTGTGAGCATATATAGAACAAGCTTTTGTTTATACTCCTCAAATGCATAAGGAATAAAAAATTATTATTCTATTATTTATATGTAAAAGTTGATCATGACTTGAACACCAATAAAAAATATTGATGTAGTTATGTGTCTCAAGTCTAAGCAACAAAAATTATGGGCTGCAAATTAATGACATAATATTAATGAATTTATCTTCCATTGTACACCTAATCTTTTCCTAATAATCATTGTATTATTTATAATGCTTGTACATATGATTGATAAATGATAGTAAAACATGGATTATATTTGTAATATCCTCCTTCTTAAAACTATGATTAACTCCCAATCTCAATTAATTAAGAGATTCGATTAAGATAAAAAAAAACAAGTTTATCAAGTTTGTAAATCAATAGTAAAGTTGGGATCCCAAGTTTTTAAAACTAAAAACCATAGCCAAAGATCTTTAAAAGAACAAATCAGAGATTACAATTATGCGAAAGCATGATATCATTTCAAAAATTAGTGCATTTGCAAAAGAATTAGAAAAAAAGTGATTTAGGCATGCGCTGCAGCTTATTGAACATACACCGTGGTTTATTCACCTCTGTGCCATGCACATTGTATGTTTCATGACAACAAACTTCTGTTATCAATTTGATAGCTTTTTAGGCAACTTTTGACATGCCCCATTCTTTTGTCTAACGTCTGATTAACGCAAATTAGCTGTCTATGAAAAGCTCTTTCTCAGCTTTAACTATTGGATTTAGTTTCATAACCAAATTATTACACATTCAAAATTTGGACATTCTTTTCAAAACTTACACTTTTCAACAATTTCCACAAAATTAAATGTCTAAATCATTTCCCAAAAGCCAAGAGCCACAAATATCATTTCAACCACATGCAATATACCAAAACTAACCTGTGCAATGTATTACATCATGCAAAACACTTACAAATTACATTTTTGACACTCAACCCCTTAATTTTTAAAAATAGAAGGGGGAGCTAAAAATCACCCATTTCATCAAATATTTCATAAACATCACATAATATGCCCCACTCTTACTTACATTAGTATTTTAATCTTATAAAAAATATCACATTTCATAAATTTACTCTTTATGACTCAAAATACACTTACAACTCGCAAAACATATAATGCAAGTAAGAACTAAAATGGATTATTCTTAGTTGGCAATTTTAATTGTCATATACACATAAAGACTCAAAATAAATAGGCCTATTAATAGGATTGTAGTCCTAAGCCTCTGATTGTTTTCCTCTATCTGGTCCTCTTGAGCTATTTCTTGTAGTATTGAGATAATGTGGTGAGTACAATCACTCAGTAACTAGGGTTCAACTAACTTATACTAATGCATATCAATTAATTTAAATATAAGTGGCAAGTACAATCAATTTCTAAACCATATAAAACATTCAATAGCATAAATTCATATTTCTAGGTATAGCACATACTCGTGAAATAATGCTTTTTAACAACTTTTATATAGAAGAGGGAGTTTATCACACAATAAATTGACATATACTCAAAAGGAATTAAAACTCAATTCATAATTCATCATTAGGATCACAATACAGACAATCATGTATGATCACACCTTCCTTATATTATTATTATTTCTCTGACATGAAATTGTGGGTTATAGTACACTGTGATAGTCTATAATTCAGGACTTCCCTAGCCTAAACACTTGTGAGAGGATTACCCACTCGTGAAATATGGTTTTCCCTATTTTCTCACACTATGAGGTATCATTTTTCCTAAACTAGCTTCCTCATTGAACCAGTGAATATCTAGCTAGGTTCGAGTCCCTCGTTAAACCAGTAGGACAGTCTCTCATTGAACAAATGGGACACAATATATATAAACAATTCGGGCAAGCCATCAACTTGGATGGGAGCCTTACCAGTGGATTTAATTCTTTACTCCTCTTCCTGGGTGAACTCCCACCTTTTATGATCATGCAATGCATAGATATGCAATCTTTTGAGGTATGCAATTACTCAATGTCAAGCATGCACAATCATATCATCATACACATCTCATACATAAAATCACATTAACACATATAATTCAAATTGAACTCCTCATATTCATCGAACTCTCTCGTTACCTCAAATTTTTGAGAAGTTAAAAGTTTTACCCCTCAATTACTCACTCCCAAGGCTTTCAAGAAGCTTGAAGGGTGCCAATAAGGTTGCTCTACAAACATTCAAAGTATGATTCATCAATATCCATAGTTGAGTTAATTTTTACTAGTAACTTAACACTTCTTGCTCAAGATTCATTCTATACTCATATAAAAATACCCATAAGGTTTCTTAGCTTCCTTTAATCCTCATTAACATCATTGAGCTCTTTAATGATCATTAATGGGACCAAATTATCCCAACTAACATATTTATTAGGTATTTTTTGTAACATCCCAATCTAAATTTTAATAGTTAATTTGGGTTAATAGAAATTTTAAAAAATATTTAGAGGTAAGTAAATTAGTAGAAAATAATTATTAAATTTAATTTAGGATATAATTCTAAATTAAAATAAAAAATTAATTAATTAAAAAATAAATAAATAAAATATTATTAAATTATTATTATTATTATAAAAAGAAAGAAAGAGAAAAGGTATGAGAAAGAGGAAGGAAAGAAGGAAGAAAACGTGAGCGCTTTCGGTGCAATAATTATATATATAATAATAAAAAAAAGGAGAGAGAGGAAAGAAGAAATAAAAAAAAAGATGTGAGACCCACTAAATTTTTATAAAAACTCACCCGTTTTCTTTATTTCTTCATTCTTTCCTTCATGCACGAGCTGAGGCAGAGTGAGCATGAGTCACCGGTGTGGGAAATCTGAGTTTTTAAGGTAAGAGTTTTTAATAGGATATTTAGGGTGTGATTTTAAGCTTTTCAAGACTAAGTAAGTGTTTTAAAAAATTTTCTTAGTCATCTTTCCTCTTTGGTTTCTGATTTTGTAGTGGTAGAAAATTTAAAATCTGGAAGAGGGATGAATTTATGTTGAATAAATATGGTTTTTGAGGTTGTTAGTAGTATAATAAATATTCTAGAGTATAAATTTATTGGTGATCTTTGAATTTGTGGCTTATGGATCAAATTTTAAACTAGATCTGAAAATATATGTTGATTTATTGAGGTTTAGATAATTATTTGGGATGAGAAATGAATTATTATGGCTATAAGATTATGATTCTAAGCTAAAGACTCAATTTTTAATTTTTGAGTATTTTAGGTACGAATTTATAAAATAAAAAAAAATTTGATAATAGAAATTAGTTTAGAAGTTGATTTTTAGATTA